ACAAGCTGGACCCTTCAAGCCAGAGCACTATAGGTACTAGTTGGTGGATGACGTATCCATGGCAACCAGCGTTAAGGAGGTCGTCAATGGCTGCGGCTCACTGTGTTTGGGCAGCGTCCACTTCAGACAATTTAAGCATTTAAATAATGATTGAAATTAGTTTGGCACTTGAGCATTCATGTGACTGAAATTATGTGAACTGGCGTTGCATTGCCACGTGAAGACGGAACTCTCACCTTAGAAATTCTCTCAACAGAATTGTAATATTTTTCTCAAATTCTTATACGTATATTTAATCAGATGTGAAGGTCCAAATGTGATATTGTCAGCATTCTTGGTATCTGCTTGGTCGCATTGACTGAAAACAATTTACATTCTATGTCGTAATTTCTTACTTGTTAATCTCGATGTTTTTCACTCCTTGGGTGTATGTACTGGTTATGGCATTTCATTTATTGTTCTCTGTGAGAATTGCGCGTCACCGGTGAGATCAATAAATACGTATTACTGCTCCGTCTTGCATTTTCCAGTTTTGTAAATGTTGTTCACAATTCTGTGTAAAAATAAAAAAAAACACGTCGTTGTATCTGGGGTAAGATGTAAGATCTAGGAAGCAAAATGTTGTCCTCAACGGTAGCATTTTATGTAATAGGCGTTATTCAGACCTGGAAAATAAAGATTTAAAGTTTACTAGTATACTATTACCCGTGTTGCGTGATAGTTCTTAACTCAGGATTAACAAGGAAGATTTGACTAGGGAGGGGAACGATTGCTTCACAGCTGCGTTGATTTGGAACTTTTTGCGCAGGTGTGACAGGAATGGCAGTCCGCTAGGAATCGCAGTCCGTTCCCCATTACTTTTTACAGGTGACATTCGTCCTATACACTAACCCCAATACTTCAACTAACCCTAACCTGTACTAATCGTATGGGACCCGGGGCTTCCGTTTTAGAACTGCCATTTCTGTCACACGGCTCACGGCCACTTGAACGAATTTCCCTACTCGTCCTCTTCAAAGTTGAGGCTTGTCAATATTTCATTGGCAAAGTTGAATTCATGCATCAGTGTTTACGAATATTAAATATTTATGAACATAAAGTAGTGCAATGCTTTCTTTTGTTTGATGTTTGTGACGGTGGACCAATTTCTTTCTCAATGCAAGCAAAACGGGTGATTTACATTTCCTCTGATACAGCCTGTGCGGGGTATTGAATAATTCACCAGCATTTTCGGTAACTTCATGTAACGCCTTTGTTTGTAGTCCGAAATTCCTTATAATGCTTTGTTTAAAATCTAAAGAGATAAAGTAGGCATATTAATCTGATTAAGTAGTTCAAGAATCTTTTGTCTTGGTTTAATATTAAAGAGGGAGGGTCCCCACAAATTGACAGAATGTACCTGAGCAAGTGACGAGTGAACATTAAATGATTTAAACTGTTTATTGCTGTCAGCGTTGGATTTCATCATAGCGATTTACACGTAAATATTTCGACCATGAATCTGGAAAGTGGTATTAATGCGTGGTCCAACATACACGTATACAACGGTGTCCGTATTTCGTACCCGCTTGTAATTGATATCCATTGCTAAATTTGCGCGGTTCTGGACGTGGAGTCCTCCATGAAATCCCCTTTGCATCACGTGCCCCCTCCCAGTGTTTTTAAACCAGAATGATGTATGCCTTAAAGCACTATACGGGGAGGCCATCAGGGAATTAGCCGGCGTTGCTTTTAAGTGAGTCGGCCATATTTAGTTCGCTGATCTTGTTCTGAATGCGATCTTATACATTCTAAGGATCAGATTTGACTTGTATGGAGAGGTGTACTTTGCTTCATGTAGCCCCTCCCAGTGTATTCAATGCAGTATGGCTCCACTGACTGAATTACCTCTCATTGCCGTACATTTCATCAATGTGGCGTGAAGATAAAAGTATATCTATGTGTCTCCAACTTCCTTTGTTTTTCAGTATACTTTACTGTCTGCTCTCTTTACTTTTAATACCAAAACAGGAACTGGTGACAAGTTTAGTCTGACAAGCACAACATGTATAGTAATATATATATATATATATATATATATATATATATATATATATATATATATATATATATATATATGTGCACGTTTTCCTGGCATTAAATAATGTATAAGATGTAGGAATCATGGAGGAAGCCAAGCTGCTGTGAATTATCCATATCATATAGTATCACCTTGGTATCCAGAGTAATAATAATAATATATATGATATATGGAAATTAAGAATAATGGGCGGAAAGGAGACGCTTGTTTTTCTTCTCGCCAACTTCGTGACACGCAAGGGAATACCCGGGGTGTCGAATACACCTAACTTATCTTAACAAAAAAAGCATGACTATGAACAGTAGCTATCGTTGCTGTCTCAGTTATGTCAGGATTTTTGCATTGATTGACCAAATCAAAAAAGTGTTAGAGGTCACCTCTCTATAATTTGCCGGGCTGGGGGATCGTCTGAACAGAAAACGACGCCTCCTCGACAAAAAAGGTTAGAGGATCTCTCTTCACTAACTTTGCTATTATTTCAGTGATATCGGGATATTTGCATTGATTGTCCAAGTCAAAAAGGTTAATAATTATAATAACTGTCTAGTGTAGTAAAAAGTGCATCTGTGATCCTGGTAGAGGAGTTAGGGAGTAAAGATGCGAAGTTATAGCGTCGTATTTTGCCGTTCATGATTAGACAGCAGGGCTAAAACAAGAGGTGTCACAGTGCTGGATTTTAATGTGTTACAGCACTGGATTTAAATTCATCCGTTTATCCTACAAAATAACTAAAACATGACCGTCCCTGGGTGGGCTTGAACCACCAACCTTTCGGTTAACAGCCGAACGCGCTAACCGATTGCGCCACAGAGACCTATATACCTCACCTGAAGGCATTATTTTTCACCTGGCGGACCTAATGACGGCAGGTATATTGAGATTTTATCTCACCGTCGCTAAGGCCTTTATGTATAAGGCCTCTGTGCTGATGATAACGCATGATAAACTGTCCTGTGCAGGAATTTCTACGGGCCTGTTTAATGAATTACACTTTTATTGTTAGATTCTTTGGAGAATTTTTTCAAACATAAATATTTGCTCTACAGCACACAAATAATGTTTTGGTTATTTTAATAAAGAAATGGGTAATCGTAAAACAAATATTTATAATTGGAATACCCCATTTTGGGCAAAGTTAGGACTAAAATTCTGATGGGAATACTGAAACGTCATTTAAAGAAATCGCGAGAAAAAGCTTATAAAATGAGATTTGTATCACAATGTGCTGGGTTTGCTTGAACCAACAACCTTTTGGTTAACAACCGAACACTCTAGACGAGACGTGGATGTGACAGTATCAGGTTCCGTAGAAATACGACTAGATAAGGCGTAGAAGATTTTTAACCTTAAAAAGTTTGAAAACGTGTATATCATCACACAGTGTAAAATGCAGCATTATTCTGGCGGTTTTCAGTCCATTTTAGCATTTTTCTATAGTTTTTAGTGCAGGGTTGCTGGAGTACAGCAAAATTTTGTTGGAATAAATATGGCAAACTGTCGGTTACGAGCATTAGTTTACAGCCTTTTGGTAAAGTTAAAACACGCGGGCCCGTAGCCAGCAATATAAAAAAAGTGGTTCTTTTTCTGAAGAAGTGCACCTTTTACCGTGAGACCTTCATGTCCGCGCAAATTACGTTACATACGCTGCTGCTATTGCTTTACCCATCCACACATTCTTTTTAATACCCATACCCTCTTGGAATCTTGCTTATCTAGACTGTTCATTGAACGCTATCCATTTCCAGGTACGGCGCAGATCAAGCTTGAATTGAGGCAGATTGACGGAGATATCATTTAAAGATGCATTTGGACTCAGCGTCACTGAAGCATGGATTCACAGTTATGCATATAAAACACTTCTACTATATGTAGCTTGTTATACGGCTCAACATGCCAATTAAGGGATATCGGAATTTATCACTCGATCAGCCATAAAGGAGATCAACACTTCACCGTCTTCAAATTGGTCTTTAATTGGGTCTACTATTCTGACCTACTTATCTGCCCCGATACAAAGCACAGAAGGCAAGCAAAAAAAAAAAAAATTAAATAATAATAACAATAAGAAGAAGAAGAAGAAGAAAATAAATGAATAAAATAAACAAACAAACGAATAAATAAAATATAATAAAGTAAAATGAAATGAAATAAATAAATAAAAAATCCGTTCAAACGTCGTTTTCACGGTATTGTGAAACGGTGACGTTATACTTTTTGAAACTCTATGGTGACATTTGGTCGGCTTTTGAGGAAGAAATTGACTTCAAACCCGTCTTTAATTGAACATTACATACGGGATAACATCTGGGTGGCGCTGGTTTATAGGAGAAAGTATCGAACAAAACCACCCTTTTCACTGAATGACTCCTGTAAAATATTGTCTTCTTTACTTTTACGTTCTCACGAAGATAATATAAGAATAATAAAGAAATATCATGCCAAAGACATCAGTGGGCGAGGAAAAAGTATGAGGAAATGTGAGTAATATGATATTGCATTAAAGTTCACACATTGTACATCACACGACGTGATATATTTCATTTCTTACAGATATAATGACCTTTCACAGAATACTGTCATCTTGATGCCTTCGTTTTCTTATTTAGAAATATTTGGGAAAAAAAATCTATCAAACAAAATTCTCTTCCAATGGTTTCCGAAACACCACCACCAACATCATCAACAACAATAATAATAATAATAATAATAATAATAATAATAATAATAATAATAATAAAGCATACTCTGCCTCGTCCTATCTATGAAGCTCCCAGGAAATAAAAGGTACACTGAGCCCCATGAAAACATGGTAGCTGCATCATTTATTGGTAAAATTACTAAGGGTCAAAAAGGCATTTATGAAATGATTGATAAGGCACTTACAAAAGTAAATGAAAGATATCTACTCACTTATCATGTCGGTTCAATAGTGTAGTGGCTATCACGCTCGCCTCACACGCGAAAGGTCCTGGGTTCGAACCCCAGTTGAACCATCTTAAACACATTTTTCACAAAAAACATAAAATTCATTTTGACAGTGTTAAGTTAATAGGGCCAATGATAAATGTGGCCAGCATGATATGTTTAAAATAATTTGATTGCAGTAACTGCACAAGCTGTGTATTATATCTTCTCTGTCACAATCCACATTCCACGTGTTTGTAATCCAGTATGGGTCCACTGACTGAATTAATTCTCATTGCCGTACATTTCATCAATGTGGCGTGAAGATAAAAGTATATCTATGTGTCTCCAACTTCCTTTGTTTTTCAGTATACTTTACTGTCTACTCTCTTTCCTTTTAATACCAAAACAGGAACTGGTGACATGTTAAGTCTGTCAAGCTCAACATGTAAAGTTATGTATAGGCCTATATACAGGTGCACGTTTTCATGGCATTAAATAATGTATAAGATGTAGGAATCATGGAGGAAGCCAAGCTGCTGTGAATTATCCATGTCATATAGTATCACCTTGGTATCCAGAATAATAATAATATATATGATATATGGAAATTAAGAATAACGGGCGGAAAGGAGACACTTGTTTTTCTTCTCGCCAACTTCGTGACACGCAAGGGAATACCCGGGGTGTCGAATACAGCTAACTTATCTTAACAAAAAAAGCATGACTATGAACAGCAGTTATCGTTGCTGTCTCAGTTATGTCAGGATTTTTGCATTGATTGACCAAATCAAAAAAGTGTTAGAGGTCACCTCTCTATAATTTGCCGGGCTAGGGGATCGTCTTAACAGAAAACGACGCCTCCTCGACAAAAAAGGTTAGAGGATCTCTCTTCACTAACTTTNAAAAAAAAAAAAAAAAAAAAAAAAAAAAAAAAAAAAAAAAAAAAAAAAAAAAAAAAAAAAAAAATTAAATAATAATAATAATAATAATAATAAGAAAATAAATGAATAAAATAAACAAACAAACGAATAAATAAAATATAATAAAGTAAAATGAAATGAAATAAATAAATAAAAAATCCGTTCAAACGTCGTTTTCACGGTATTGTGAAACGGTGACGTTATACTTTTTGAAACTCTATGGTGACATTTGGTCGGCTTTTGAGGAAGAAATTGACTTCAAACCCGTCTTTAATTGAACATTACATACGGGATAACATCTGGGTGGCGCTGGTTTATAGGAGAAAGTATCGAACAAAACCACCTTTTTCACTGAGTGACTCCTGTAAAATATTGTCTTCTTTACTTTTACGTTCTCACGAAGATAATATAAGAATAATAAAGAAATATCATGCCAAAGACATCAGTGGGCGAGGAAAAAGTATGCGGAAATGTGAGTAATATGATATTGCATTAAAGTTCACACATTGTACATCACACGACGTGATATATTTCATTTCTTACAGATATAATGACCTTTCACAGAATACTGTCATCTTGATGCCTTCGTTTTCTTATTTAGAAATATTTGGGAAAAAAAATCTATCAAACAAAATTCTCCTCCAATGGTTTCCGAAACACCACCACCACCACCACCACCACCACCACCAACAACAACAACTACAATAATAATAATAATAATAATAATAATAATAATAATAATAATAATAATAATAATAATAAAGCATACTCTGCCTCGTCCTATCTATGAAGTTCCCAGGAAATAAAAGGTACACTGAGCCCCATGAAAACATGGTAGCTGCATCATTTATTGGTAAAATTACTAAGGGTCAAAAAGGCATTTATGAAATGATTTATAAGGCACTTACAAAAGTAAATGAAAGATTTCTATTCACTTATCATGTCGGTTCAATAGTGTAGTGGCTATCACGCTCGCCTCACACGCGAGAGGTCCTGGGTTCGAACCCCAGTTGAACCATTAAAAGCACACTTTTCACAAGAACCATAAAATTCATTTTGACAGTGTTAAGTTAATAGGGCCAATGATAAATGTGGGCAGCATGATATGTTTAAAATAATTTGATTGCAGTAACTGCACAAGCTGTGTATTATATCTTCTCTGTCACAATCCACATTCCACGTGTTTGTAATCCAGTATGGGTCCACTGACTGAATTAATTCTCATTGCCGTACATTTCATCAATGTGGCGTGAAGATAAAAGTATATCTATGTGTCTCCAACTTCCTTTGTTTTTCAGTATACTTTACTGTCTACTCTCTTTCCTTTTAATACCAAAACAAGAACTGGTTACATGTTAAGTCTGTCAAGCACAACATGTATAGTTATGTATAGACAGGTGCACGTTTTCATGCCATTAAATAATGTATAAGATGTAGGAATCATGGAGTAAGACAAGCTGCTGTGAATTATCCATATCATATAGTATCACCTTGGTATCCAGAGTAATAATAATATATATGATATATGGAAATTATCCATATCATATAGTATCACCTTGGTATCCAGAGTAATAATAATACATATGATATATGGAAATTAAGAATAACGGGCGGAAAGGAGACGCTTGTTTTTCTTCTCGCCAACTTCGTGACACGCAAAGGAATACCCAGGGTGACGAATACACCTAACTTATCTTAACAAAAAAAGCATGACTATGAACAGCATGACTATGAACAGATCGTTGCTGTCTCAGTTATGTCAGGATTTTTGCATTGATTGATCAAATCAAAAAAGTGTTAGACAGGGTCGGAGAAATTTTCTGACAGTCTTCCAAATTATCTTTGTTGATTCATCCTCCATTTTTGACCGTCTTCCGACAGAAAGAATTAGACACCCGTCAATGTAAACTTGAAAATCTGACCGTCTTCCAGAAGACGCAGAAGACGGCCTAAATCCGCCCCTGTTAGAGGTCACCTCTCTATATTTTGCCGGGCTAGGGGATCGTCTTAACAGAAAACCACACCCTCCTCGACAAAAAAGGTTAGAGGATCTCTCTTCACTAACTTTGTTATTATTTCAGTGATATCGGGATATTTGCATTGATTGTCCGAGTCAAAAAGTTTAATAATTATAATAATTGTCTAGTCTAGTAAAAATGCATCTGTGATCCTGGTAGAGGAGTTAGGGAGTAAAGATGCGAAGTTATAGCGTCGTATTTTGCCGTTTTGCCGTTCATGATTAGACAGCAGGGCTAAAACGAGAAGTGTCACAGTGCTGGATTTTAATGTTTCACAGCACTGGATTTAAATTCATCCGTCTATCCTACAAAATAACTAAAACATGACCGTCCCTGGGTGGGCTTGAACCACCAACCTTTCGGTTAACAGCCGAACGCGCTAACCGATTGCGCCACAGAGACCTGGACACCTCACCTGAAGGCATTATTTTTCACCTGGCGGCTCACATGACGGCAGGTAGATTGAGATTTTCTCTCACCGTCGCTTAGGCCTTTATGTATAAGGCCTCTGTGCTGATGATAACGCATGATAAACTGTCCTGTGCAGGATTTTCTACGGGCCTGTTTAATGAATTGCACTTTTTTTGTTAGATTCTTTGGTGAATTTTTTGAAACATAAATATTATGCTCTACAGCACACAAGTAATGTTTTGGTTATTTTTATTAAGAAATGGGTAATTGTAAAACAAATATTTGTAACTGGTATACCCCATTCTGGGCAAAGTTAGGACTAAAATTCTGATGGGAATACTGGAATGTCATTTAAAGAAATCACGAGAAAAAGCTTATAAAATAAGATTTTTATCACAATATGCTGGGTGGGCTTGAACCGACAACCTTATTATTTTTCCAGGCATTATTTTTCACCTGTCGGCTCTCATGACGGCAGGTTTATTGAGATTTTATCTCAACGTCGCTTTGACCTTAATGTCATTTTTTAATATCGCAAGAAAAAACACTAAGGCCCCATTCAGAATAGGGGATTAACTAGTCCGAGGGCAAATATGGCGACCCACTACAAAGTTTGCTGTCTAACCCGTTAATATGCACTGAATAGATAACCCGTGGGGAAGTATTCAAGTGGGTCGGCCATATTTGACCCTAGGACTAGTTAGTCCCCTATTCTGAATGCGGTCAATGTCTAGTCTAGTAAAAAAGGCATCTATAACCCTGGTAGAGGGTAAGAAAAGGTGATGTTTGGGAAGAACGAGGTGAAGTTATATCGTCGTATTTTGCCGTTCATGATAAGACGGTAGAGCTGAAAGGAGACGTGTCACAATTCTGGATTTTACTTAATCATTTTATCCACAAAATAACCAAAAGTGACCGTCCCCGGGTGGGCTTGAACCACCAACCTTTCGGTTAACAGCCGAACGCGCTAACCGATTGCGCCACAGAGACCTGGATAATTCACCTGGAGGCCTTATTTCGCACCTGTCGGCTCTCATGACGACAGGTAAATTGAAATTTTATCTCACCATCGTTTAAGCTAATATGTACAAGGCCTCTATGCTGGTGATAACGCATGATAAACTGTCCTGTGCAGGATTTTCCACCGGCCTGTTTAATGAATTATACATATTTGTAAGATTTTTTGTTGAATTATTTTCAACACAAATACTTGATCCATATCACACAAGGAATGTTTTGGTTGTTTAATTAAAAAAAGAGTAATTTAAAAATAAATATTTTAATTGATAAAACAGACACTCGGAAAGCGCAAACAGGTGTACCGCAGGATTTTAAAAAGTTCTTTTTTAAATACTGTAATATCATTTTTTAGAAACCACAAGAGAAATTTTATCCGTCGCCATAACGTGATAGTCCCTGGGTGTGCTTGAACCACCTACCTTTTGGTTAACAGCCGAACGCGCTAACCTCCGCTAACCTAACGCCACAGAGACGTTGATGTTATACCCTCTACCCGGTCGACAGACTGATTTTTCACAAATATTCACAGATATGTCTCTAGATAAATAAACAATCATTTGGCTGTTTTCCGTTTCTCCCTATACAATCTGCCACCCTGATCGAGGATATTGATGTTGTAAGAATGGTAGTCTCAAATCCCGTGGAAATACGACAGATAAAAGATATTTAATCTTTAAAAGTTTGACAAAATGTGCATTTACAGCACACTTACACATG